GCACGACGACTGAACGCCGCCTCTCACTTATATGTGTAAATATCATTTTAGATCCCGTAGGATTATGTTTCGATAGGCTGAACATATTTTATAATATTATACTCGGTAATATATTCCTTATGTGTTTCATTTCTCCCCTCCCCATCCCTACCACATTTTAATGTTTTTGTTTTCTTACAATCTTTTGTTAAATACATGTCATCATTATTCTATTGTTTATAGTATTGTGAAAGCGTAAACCGTAACGAATTTTCCAAGGTCTTATGGTAAATTATACTGCAAAGGTTGTGTTGTACATGTTTTTACTTTATTTGTGACCTTTACTTTTATACAAAACAACTGCGTTAACAGTACATATATTGTCATCAACTATAACTTCTCATAGCCAAACTCTGGCACAATGTCGCGTGTGAAGCGAACTTTACTTTTAAGTAGCGAATTTTCACATGAATCTGGAATGGATTTGCTTTGTGTGCACACTATTTAACAGACATAAAGTCCTGATTAACTGTTCCGTTTATTGAGGCTCGAGTTTGTGTTGTCGCTTTACGTTACAAAAATATCCACATAAGCGTAATAAGATGGCATTTGAATGGGAGATTGATTAATTATGAATTGCATTGATCTTTCATCGAATTCTATATAGCCATCAAATAATTTATTTCACACAAAGGTATAGTCGAGTCTGATTTACATCGATTAATTGTTTTCTAACACTGGAAGCACGTCTGACAGCAAGTGAGTGGCGATTTGAATAAGGCAGCCATGCACGAAATTAATTTCATCGACATCATGTTTGTGAGCGGTACCTACGTGTATTAGAAATTCAAACGAGCGAAAGTCTTATTAGTAGTGGTGTATGCTCTATATTGAGAACCTAAGTTGTAGCATACGAATTATTTAATATCTTACTCTTTTTACATAGTGATAAAGTGACAAACGAGCTAGCCGGAATGGTTGGAAATGTTAACTTCCAATGTAATTTAATACACAAATAACTTTATGTTGAAAGTAACGTTCGGTATCGATGCAAGAGGTTCACTACATTTGGTGGCAAGGATGTAGTTTTTTCGAGGCCCTATTATACACGGTTAATACGGGTAACCTTGCTCATTTTTATTCTCCCGCACAAAAGGGTAGTTATCCTTCCACAACTCGGTTGTAGCCTGCGAAGAGCCACGTGCTGTCAGGCTAGCAAGTCGGTTGCCAGGGTCCGCGTCGGAAGGTTATTAGAAGTGGTGGTTAATGACACCAAGAGTTTCCTTATTAGCGAGCAGAGTCGCTTTAAAATGTGTCGCGTTCGGACATAAAAATCAGAAAGACAGCATTGCTGAAACATATAGACTTTGACAAAACTTATCTCGCTTCTACTAACACCGACAGAGACTACACACTTTCAGGCGACGAATGAGGGATTAAGTTGATAAGTCCCACTTCATGCCTCACCAACTTTGTTTACAACATTATGCCCTCGGTGCATGCGTAGTGTCAGGCTTGTGTTGCGGGACCCGAACCCGTCTTGTACAGCACACAAAGGTAGCTAAATCTACAAACAAATGATGAATATCCGCTGCTAGTTTATGCATCTAATGTTTACTTAACTTTTAAGAAGGATGCTATAAAGCAGTCAATGTAAGTGAATAAGTAACGTTCATATTCAATAATAAAGTTACCGACGTTTCACGATGCTACTCGTTAAGTGCACTTAGCATTGTTATTGAGTCTAACCAAGCGACTCCCTCTATGTATTAGTTTTCGAAGAATATTCTGTAAGGCAGTTTCAATAATTATTAATTGCAAATGTGACTTGGCGTTTAGTCTATCGTTTCTTATATTTATTTAAAAATTTAGATTTTTTACTAATTTAAAAACGTATAGAATTGTCAATCAAGTACGACAGTGATGTTTGCTGCTGTATGTATTTGGGTCTAGAGAGAAGTTAAAAAAATTGTTAAATCTCAAATGGTATTCGACAACACCTGACTGTATCATCAACAATCCTATGCAGAAGGTGCTAACGAGAGAAGTTATATTTTTATTGCTATCGAGTCGTGTAAATAGCAATGATAGTACTAAATTTACTTTAGACGTTATAATTTGAAAGTTAGAGGCACGTAAACGCGATGGGTTTACGTGAACGTGATCTCATTCCGCATTTCAAAGTTAAATCACGTAAAATACATAAAGTTATACTATGCAGTAATATTTGATAAAACTTTTCTTTAGAGTATTTTATAATTTGAAATAGTATGAAATAATGTCATTGAATGCATCGTAGGTAGGTACCCACGATGCGTTCAATTCAATATGTACCTACGTACGAAATCTAATCTTAATGTTAGTCTTTAGGGCCATAAATAAACTATAATATTATTATTTACTTCGTGGAACCATTTATGCGGCTTTTTATAAACAACAGTAACGAGGAAGGAAGTATGTAAAAATTCACGATAAAATAACATTCAGAAGATGTACTGTGTACAAAATGTTCCGCAGTAGTTTATGATGAAAGGTTTTTTTACAAACACGCTAAAGTAATACTCGTGTACATGACATAAAATATACACTGTTTACAAGCAGTATCTTGTTACACGTAACTTGTTAATGGACTTGCTCTAAGTGGCCATGCTACCTTACGCAGTATACACTTTCGTTTCAAAATACTTTTTTCCATCTTATTACACTTACCACACAATTTTTAAAATAACTGTCAGGTATGTGCTTTCTAAAGCACAGGAAATATTTCGTAATATTAAGTATATCAAATATTATTTGCTTAATTTATTATAATTTATTTTACGCACCAATCACTTTAACTTCAGTGTTTAATTAAAATTTGAAACGATCCCAAATATTTATTTAAGCGATGTCTCAAAATCATCTTTCGTCTATTTGAATTTTAAATTTAATAGGCTCCGTCAACAAGATAACCTTAAACAATAGATAAGTGAATAATTAAATATTACTAAAAATTGAAAAATCAAGAGGTTAATACGGCATCCAACACTCGTACAGATAATTGATTTTATTTAAATTTTTGCAACATTTGTTCAAAATTGCCTACAATCCTTTTATGAAGATTTGCGTTGTCATTTAAATGCATGATTTTTTAAACATTCAATCTGCATAATGTCTACCCAGGTTATGTTAATGTAGGGTCAGAATTTACATAACAATTTTCGCAACTTCAACGAATGTCCGTAATAAATATACGTATATAGCCAACAAGAAGCGGGTTCTAGAAACGTTTAAAAACTTCGCACTCGCGGAAAAAGTAACTTTTGTGAGAATTTTCATATCTTAAAATATCCAAATTCTTATATAAGCTTTGTGAAGAAACCTTATTAAGGACACCTCATCCACTCACATCGAACTGTAGGTTTTATTACAATTTAGAGTTTAGTAAATATTTAGCTAAATAAAAAAAAAACAGTGTTTGCCGTAAATACTTAAAAAGTTAACACATTGTATTGTAACTCTTATAGTATTTGACACTTCAGTAACGTCTAATGAATGTTTAACTATAAAGGAAATTAAAGTCGAGATACTTTTATTGTTACGATAAAAACTGCAATTATTCGAAATTACGGTTCAATGGAACCAAATAACAATTTCATTGCATGCGTACAAGCTCGCCTTTGACCACTCAGTCGGAATGATAGCTCTGTTCTGAATTTAACAAAGTCGATACTAAAAGAGTTCGCCAATTTTCCATATGGCGATTTACTTACTTTGTTGATAGAATCGGAGAAAGTATGCACGTCTTTTTGCATTATAAATTCAACGCTAAATACTGAGTCTTTGCTATGAAGTTTTAAATTGAAAGGGTTTTAAATTGAAATAACCTTAACTACTTGATAAAATATATATATATATACTTACATAACTAAATATATTTTATGTAAACTGCGAGTTCGTAAAGCAGAAGGTTAAGCTCTTTAAATTGTAACGTATTAACTCAGCAACATAAATTCATAGAGAGCGTCAAAACAAAGCTCATTGAGTGTAAGCTCGTGTGTTTAATGTCGTTTGTTTTCATTGTTCTTCTAATTTTGTAATACAAATCCGCCGGAATTGAGAATGACCTGCGACTAGCTTATGACATAACGGTTACACAGTCCGTTAGTGTTAGTAATTTTTTTTAATCTCATCTTGTTATTAAAAACAGACAGTTGAGTGTACTTCCTTAATACTAGCTGTTCCCATGCGACTTCATCCGCATGAAATTATAGAAATTTCATTTTTATGTTCACATTTGTCAAATTATCAACTGCAAATGTTAAAATGACATGACATGATGTCAAACCATGGCAACCTGGCTTCCTTGATATTGGCAACATCTTATGGTCTCTTTCCCACATTAGGGTTTGTATCCAAAATATAGACCCCTAAGTTTAACGGCTTAAAAATATATAGCCTAAAGCGTGACGTAAGTGTAGGGCTTTTTATTAAAAAAATAATTATTCAAAAATATGCTGTGAT